GGTGAGTCAGGAGAGGTCTGCTGTGCCATGTGGGTAGCTCCCTGGCTGGGGATCGAACTTGTACTGCAGTGGCTGCAAACAGTTTCATAGGTTGCATCTTAATTCTTGTGCCACCAGGGAGGCCCAGTTTTTTCTCTCTTTCTTTAAGATTATTTTTTCATTGTTGATTATACAAATACGTTCTTTAAAGATTTATTAGTTTATGCATACAAGAACTGAAGTGCAGGCCAGAGGTGCAGAGGGTGAGAGGATTCACCAGAGACAGAGTGGGGAGCAGAACAGGCAGATCTACTGAAATACACTGCTGAGGGGAACAGTTGGTAAGTCAGGAGAGTTCTGCTGTGCCATGTGGGTAGCTCCCTAGCCAGGGATTGGACTTGTGCGACAGTGGCTATGAATAGATTCATAGCGCTGTGTCTTAACCCCTTGTGCCACCAGGGAGGCCCTGATTATGCAAATATTTTTATAAGACTCTACATGTCAGATTAAGTACTAAAGTAATATTGAAAGGATTTTTCACTTGCAATTTCAATAATTTAAGGTGGGAAAGTAAATACAGGAGGCATTAAAGAAGATTGTAATATAAATGAACTATTTCTAAATAGTCATTGCACACAACACTAATAAAATGATCTGTGGTTGTTAAAATATAAGTAGAAGTAAACAGTATTAAATTAGGAATTACATTTACAATCCCATGAAAAATTCTAAAATATTAAAAGATTATAAAATAATAACAAAATTATTAACAATAATAAAATTATAGTATAATTTAATGACTCCCCTCCCAAAAGATAAAAAGGACCACAGAAGATGTGTCAACTAGCAAGAAAATAGTCGATATGTGGGTAGAAATCAGAATGTATCAATAATTAAATTGACTATAACTAATCCTTATAAAAGGTTTAGAATATCAAAATGGGCTTAATACCAAATCTATTTTTATTTAAGCTAGATTTTCTTAAACCTAAGAAACAGTAAAGGGAAAAGGAAAAGCTATATCAAGCAAAGAAAACAAAATTATGACTCGTGCTTTATTAACTTCAAAGTTTGTTACTCAACAAGATGTTTATTGGATCTAAATGATGATATTTCTGAACAATCATTCTACAATTAGTTTTCCAGGAAGTTAAATTATTTCATTACTTATTTAAAGACTACAGTAAAGCCACACTATTAAATAGAGTCACCACTAGTCACATACATGAAGTTAAATGGAGTAATTAAAATGAATTCAAAAGTCATGGTAGTTACCTTTCCAGTGTACATTCAATGTGGCTACTGGATGCCTTGTGTCGAAACGTTCAGAGAAATATATTTTCAGCATCACGGTAAGTTCTATGGACAGTCCTATTTTAGAAATCTAAGCCTGCATTATTGATGTCTTACTATAAACTAATACCTTTTCGTTACAGTACAAGGACCATAGAAATACATGCATGTTGTCTCCAATTCATGTACTCTATGTCAGGATTATCTGCATTTTAACTTCATGCATGCTTATGTGTATTGATACATATTTGTACCCTTGTTTGTAGGCAATATTTCTTTAAATTTAACCAGTCCATGTAGCTGGAAGGGATTATGCTAAGCAAAACAAGTCAGGAAAATAAAGAAAAATATTGGATGGTTTCACTTATGTGTGAAATATAGAGAACCCAAAGAAAAATGTGAGGAAAATAAAAGACAAATTTGCAAGCTGACCATGGCGGGGGATGGGATGGGAGGGGTAGAAATAGGGATGGAAAGAGTACAGGAGACAGTGGTGTGGGTCACAGGTCCTCTGGTGGGGAACTGTGGGAAATGCACCTGATGGGAGAAATCAAATATTGTCCAAAATTTAACAAAAAGTAAGAAAACAATAGCCAATATGCATGTTTATTTACCTTGCATTCTTACATCTTTTTACTATTTTTCTGGAATTATTTTACTTTTGAGCATGTATGACTTTTATTACATATTCCAGTAATGAACAGATAGTGAAAAATTCTCAAAAGTTTTTGATTATTTGAAAATATATGTCTCCTTCATTTTTACAACAGACTCACCAATTAAGTAATCTAGTTTTAAAGTTTTCTTCAGAAATTTGATGATATTTAATGGTGTGCCAACCTTTCTTCTCTCTGTTTAGAATTCAGTTGTCAATTTAAATGATGCATTTTTTAGGTGTAACTTGAACTTTTGTTTTCTTCTGTTTTTTACATTTTTCTCTGCTTTCTTGTTCATCAGTTTTACTCTAGTATGCGTATAAGTAGACCTTTCTTTATGTTCTTCAGGAATGGGACTTGTGTAAGTTCTTGAATTTGTGAATTGATGTTGTTCTACTTGGAAAATTCTCTCTGGATCTCATTTTATTGCATGTTACTTCTCTTGAATTTGGTGATATCATGACTTGTCAATACACATTCAAAATATGAATTCAGCATGCCAGTTGCAATTATGCTAGACCTTTCCATATTTTCCAAACTCTATCTACTCTGTAACTTCATATGATTTTATTGCTTATTTTATAATTTTAATATATTCTACTGAACAATTAGTAATTGTCTCTTCATTTATATTTAAGCTATTTTTAATCATTGCTATAATTCTATATTTAGTTTATTGCATTTATTGTTTTATAATTTTACTTGCTTCTTTTAATATTCCCATGTTCTGTCAAAAAATTTAATCTATCCTTTTACTCCCCAAGAATAGTAATCTAGGTGTAAAATTTCTATTTACTGAATATCTTGTGAGTCTTTTTCTATTGCATGATACATATTTTGAATTTAATCATTTCTTGACTTCTTGAAGCGTAGTAAAATTTTCCTCAGATATTATCAGACTGTCTGTATTGATGTTTATGTCATATATATATATAATTTATATATTTGTCTATATTATATATTTTCTGTAGTCTCATATCACTATATTAATCTCTTTCTACAATTATGTCTCTACATATAAATCTCATCTGTGTTTATATTTGTATCATTTCTACTATGGGAAGATAATTTATGTTTCATTCTCATATCATGTTAACCTATACAATATTGAAATAATTTGAAACTGAACTTCAGTTTCTAGCTAGCAAGGGATAAATATTTATGGTTTATGCTACTCTGAGGTTTTATTAGAGTCCTAGAAAAATTTGGTCAAAATTATTGTAAATTCCTCACGTTCAATTTTTGTACCCCATCTTGTGAGTCTTATTAGAGACTCTTTTGCATTCAACAAGATCCCCAATCTGAGAGTAGTGAAAAATTCTGGGAAATTTTAATTTTTTTAGATCTTCTCAGAGTTTGGATCCTCTAATATCTGTTGTATTTAGACCTATCTTTTCCTTGTCTATATTTTCTAGATTAAAATATTAGTTCCAAATAACATTTTCATTTGTAAGCACATTGCCTTTTATTTAATCTTTCTTAGGAATACACAGTTTGCACCTAAGTATTGGATTGAAGATTTCTTTCATAACATATGAAAGAGTAACTAGGAGAGAAATAGAAGTAAGGGTATCCAATCACAAAACTGATTTTGTGTTCAAATGGAAGGGGTGATTTAAAATGTAACACCTTTGATGGTAGAAGCATTTGTTCCATCAGTGATGGAGAGGTGACTATTCATCAGTTATTTTAGACCATATTGTCATTGCCAAGCCATTTAAAATGTCCTTACATTTTAAGTTAACTAAATTTCTAGTTATCCCTTGACCTATAGAAGGCATTTTCATTTAAGCTTTGCTTATTCCATCTTCCTAGACTTCTCTATTGCCCCTTTCAATACTCCATTGTCTCTTTGTATAGCAAAATAGACTCTACCTTTTTAAGTTATCATGAAATGAGTTTACCTTTGTCTCCATTTTCCTACATTTAGCATTACAGATTCACAAAGGTATCTTTCTTTATGGGATGTTGTACAGACTAAGGAAATAATGGATTGGAATTTTTAGTAACATTGTTTTAACTGTTTTTAGGTTTCTTATCAAAGGCTCTCCCTCATTAAACTTGACTTTTTCTGGACATGCTTTGAGAAACTAGAACATTATCAAAACAAAAGAGAAGTGACCTTTGCCACTTTTTTGTTGAGATGCTCATTAAATCATTACTTTATAAATAGCAGAACTTATAATCTTCAGTTTTATTTAATTTGAAACATGAGTAAAACCTAAGTGAAATATCAACCCTATAATTTTAGATCCTTCCCTCAAATTTCATGCTATTTGTCATTGCACATGTGAAAATAAAGTCATGCTGAATGCTCATCAGGGAGATTCAGGAAGTTGATGATTCTTACCAAAACAATGTTGGGTAACATCAAGCAGTTACTTAAAAATCATTTCTTTGTCTTCACATTTTTTCATATACCATCCTAATCATAAAAATCTACATATTATTTTTGTTCTCTGAATTCCTGAAATGACTATCAACTGGTCTGATAATTGTAGAAATATATATGAAGATCCACCTCTTAAAGGTGAATCAATCTGGTTCCTGATTCTGAAATTTTAATTCATAAAGTCAATATATTTTAACAATAATTTCCAGTACCTATATTGTTATAAATAAAAATATTCCATTACCCTGAAATTAGTTTAAATCCCCAAATTCCTAGGATTGAAAAACCTATTTCCAAGTGCATATGTTGGTATCAGAACATCTCTTTTTTACAGTCAAAACCCTAATCAATAAATGGCTAGCAATAGTAAACAATCAACTGGCTATCACAATCAATAAATTTGTTAGATCACAACCATTTGGGATTATTATTATTATTATTAAAGCAAAGCCAATAAATGAAATCCATTTCCATGGCAGAATGTACACTTTATTTTATGTTAATAATTTCATTATATAATTTTTCAGATCTGTCAGTCAGAAATTGGCATCAGACACAAGGTGAGAACATGATAAACAGAATTAAGACAGTAACTCTCCTGTATTTGAGGAAAATAATAAGGTGCAGGAGAAAAGGCATGAACAATATTGGAGATCAAGATAAGAAGTTTAGTGAGAACATCAGTCTTGGCCAGATCCATAGGTTGATCTGTAAGAAGATGACCGGCAGGTGTTAGAAGTCAAGTAGTCTGGGTGGCAGAATCCAAATACGAAGGTCAATGCAGGGAAATTACGGACTCCAGGAGTCAGAGGTTTGAAGCTACTGGAACCACATTCCCCCGAGTAGGAGCTTCCAGATTCGCAGCCCTGGGAACAGCTGCTGCTGGACCCATAGCCCTGAGACCCAGCAATAGCCGTCTGGCAGGGACTGCAGGGGGCAGAGGGCCTGGAGCCGGAGCAGGACGTCTGGCAGGGCCTGGACACCACACTGGATGTCTGGCAGCTGGAGGGCTTACCAAAGTTCTCCTGACAGCCACTGGAGAGAGCAGATCCGCGCTGGCAGGGCCCATTATTGCTGAGATCCGTGTTGTAGGTCACACTGCTGGGGTTGGAAGAAACACAGGAGGAGGCTGGGTGACTCTGGCAGTCCCCAAGGGAGCAGGAGAAATTTTCAGAACAGCAGTTGTTGGACATGTTGACAGGAGATGTGAGTTCTTTCGGCTCAGTGATAAGGACAAATTTCTATGTCACAATATTAACCCTTAGCTTGGCATTTATATATGCTCGGTAATGGGTGTGGACTATTAGTGTGTGATCTTTTCCATTGCGGACTTCCCATTTACATACACAGAAGTCAGTAATCCTCTTTGTAAATGCAGTTAACTAACTTCCTTCATCTTTATTTATGGGTGAACTCATTTTGCTTTTATAGCGCTATGTCGATGAATTGCAACCAGGTTACAAAGGCTATGACAATATGTAATTAATGCCTAATCCATCATGACCAGAGAAGCCCCTCTTGTTCTCTCTGGCCGTGACTGCTTGCATGTATGCTCCTGTTTAAGCTGGGGAATGCTTTCTTCTTAAGGTGGAGATGGCAATACAGTCATCTCCCACTTGCATCAATGGCCAAGAGTCAGAAATCTGGTCTTGATCAAGAACCTTCTAAAGATGGCACTATGTCAAACCATTGACTCACATTATGCAATGCAATTTTCCATTAATTATTCACTATTAGCAATGTTTGCTGTGTTCATTTTATTTTTTAAAGATTTATGCAACAACTGGGGTACAGATCAGATGTGCAGGAGGGTGAGAGGATTCACCAGAGACAGAGCAGAGAACAGAACAGGCAGACTGACTGAAATACACTGCTGAAGGTTGCAGCGGGAGAGACAGGACTGCCACGCCATGTGGGTATCTCCCCAGCCGGTGTGGATCGAACCAGTGCTGCAGAGGCTGTGGACAGCTTCATAGCGCTGCACTCAACTGCCTGTGCTGCCAGGTAGGCTCTGTGTTACTTTTAGAGAGAAAATACAAAAGTACGCCAAGGGAAGTGAGAGAGATGGACTTAAACTTAAGCAATATTAGTTTGAAAGGTCAGTGCTCAGAAAAATGAAATCAAATCTTGAGCAAAAGGAGAACATATGGACACATGTGAATCAAAAACAAAATTGGGTCCATATTGAGATGAGATGAGGAAGCAAGGGACAGTGGTCGAGAGAAGGACAGAACGGTCAGGATTTTCATCTACCCCCTTTGGGTACCCTATGGATACTCTTTCTCATAATTCAACCAAATCAAAGTTGTTTTAAAGAGAATGTAATTCATGTTTTTTGGTAGGCTATATCTATAAAACATCCTGGATCTATCTTCCCACAACTTCTATAAACCCCCACCTTAGTATTTTGATTGCCTTGTGAACATTTTCAAGGTCATGACAGATCTTAAGTTTTTCTTCCTATTTGTGGTACATGATTCCTTCCCAGTTTTCTTTGCAGAGGCTAACCCATATTTTTTAAGTCTTATTTTATAATATCGAGGTCCTCTTTATGAAAAATAATATACTATTTTGAAATAATAGTACATGTAATCGAGTCCTAATTAAAATAAAGATAATACTAATCAAAAATCTTACCACTTGAGAAAAAGCACAAATATAACAAAATCAAGACAATGATATGAATATCATCATTTTTATTATCTTTAAACTTTCACCTGTTTTTTGACGATATAGTCTTTGACCACTTCTACACATGTCAATGATTTTGTCAACACGGTCTTCTATAGCAAGAAATATCATTCAGTTTTTACTTTTTTCTTTTTCCTTTGGACTGATCTATTTACATTTTTTTAATTTTTTTGTTTTCATTTTCTAGAATCATATGTCAAAAATAAAATATTTGTCATGATATTGAAAAGTTTGTCATTAATAGTGCCATCTCTAACATCTTTCATGTCATCTCTGTCAGTGTTCAAGCCTGGAATTATGCCTGTTTCACACAGGTGCCCCTGGTTCTCTTTCCATCCCAGTCTGCTGCTCTTGGAGGTTGGGAACATGTGTGAGAAACCTGGAGTTTCCAAATGGCGGTGGCCAAGATTTAATGGCCTCCACTCAGGCAGCAGAACAATTTCTTGGTTTGAATCCTTCTTGCAGGACCAAAGTTCCTTGAGGTTCTGGCATTCATTGGGTTGATTCTGGGGGTTAGAGTAATAAAACTGTTCTCTAGGTCCACACATGCCCCCAGAACTACTACCAGATCAAAAAGTAATTTTCAGGCTATAGCAGCATAGCTGGAACTTTGGGGTCTTTCAAGGCTCCCTGAAGGCTTGAGTCTGAAAAGTTCAAGCAAGAGAACCTTCAAGAGAACCCTCACATTTAAACTTTATTAGGTTAAATCTGCCTCTTCTTTATATAGGATGCTCTGCCCAAAACCCCTGCCTGTGTGCTCTCTCTGATATCAAACACCTCCATGGAGGGCCTGTCTCCCTCCTAGATTCCCTTCCTAGGCTATCTCTTTCTCTCCAGAGCTTCAACCTAAATTTTAATAATTTCATTGTTGTATTTTTTTTTCTGTTTCTGTTATTTGCCTTTGCCAACTTTAACTCCAGAAAAATATTAGGGAAATGTCTAACAGATACATCCATTCACTGAATATATTGTTGTGTTTCCTGATGATTTTAAAACAAATGCACAAATGCACCTCTGGTAATCCGCACCAGAGGTCAAAACTGTGATATCAGGGACTCAAGAAGTATAATACGATGACTTGTGGCACTGAGTTGCAACTTTATTTAATAAAAATACAATATAATTATATCATATATGCTTAAACTATCAACCTCTCCTCAATATCAGATCATTTTTAATCCCCATTGTTAAAAAGAAGAGTGATACAGGACATTTATAAGTCAAAGAAATGGTCAAGAGCCTCCACTCACAGCTATTTCATTTTTAAGTTTATAATATGACCTTTTAAATTCTAAATTTTCCAGTTGCTGGGATAAAAAAGTCTAACCTATTTGTGCCCTAAAGACCATTTCTTTCTATATGTATTTTATTTATTTTATTTTTTTTTTTTTTAAATAGCTTAACGGCTACATTTTTTTTTTTTTTATAGAGGCATGTTTTATTTATTTATTTTATTTGTTTGTTTGTTTTGTTTATACATGCACTGGGTACAGTCAGAAGCGCGGGAGGGTGAGAGAATTCACCAGAGCCAGAGCAGGGAGCAGAGCAGGCAGAAGGACCGAAGTACACTGCTGAGGGGAGCAGCGGGCGGCAGGAGAGGTCTGCGCACCATGTGGGATCCTCCTCCGGTGGCCGGGGAGCAGCCGGGGATCGAACCGGCGCCGCAGAGGCTGCGGGCAGCTTCGCAACCCAGCGCTCAACCGCTGTGCCACCGGGGAGGCCCATATGTATTTTAAAATAGTCATTCTATGGTAAGTCAAAGTGAATTTTTGCTGACTGGAGGTGAGACACATGTTAATCAAAATAGTAAAGCCAGCATTATTTGTCTACAGGAACACCACCTCCTGGTTGCCCTCCTAGATTTGCAGGACTATACTTCCCCTCCCTGTGTGTCTCTACCCTGCCTCATATCCGTGTGGCAGTGAATGATTCCAGGTCAATCAGTAGATCACAAACGCTCAGGTCCTCAGTCAAATCCAGCTCGGGTAGCTTTGTTCATCTTACAACTGTTAGCATCTAAGGAGTTTGCATTAAAGCTTAAACTAGTTCCACCACATAAAAATTTTAAAAATGGATAAAATATGGTTTCTGACTTCTTTTAAAAATTCTGAAAATCTGGTGACATTGAGTTCCCTCCCTCACAGTTGCCTGAAACTGAGTGGAACTCCAAACACTATACCTTTTTTTCCCCCAGCTGTGAGACCGCGTTCTAATTGCCAGCCATCCTCAAGCCTGCACTATTCTTTTGTTGTGTTCACTAATGTCTGTAGCACAAATGCAAAAATGAGAGATGAATGGATAGACTTTGGCTGTTAGGACAACTTGTGAGAACAGACTCCCTTATACGCTTGAAGGATATACTTCCATATATAAGAGGAAATAGAATGTGTTTGTGTTCATGGGATAAAATATAGAACATCAGTCATGAAATGAGTCACAGTTCAACTGGACCACCTCATATTTATTTTTGATCTACCAAGACCTGTAATGACTTGAAGCTGTCTCAAATCATTATATTATATAAAACCATTTTATGCCAGCAGAATTTGAATAAGCATTTATATGCTGGGCAAAGGCTTAAATCAGTGGTCTTACTTTTAAAGATGCAAGCAAATTAGAAATGGGTAATTTTAGAATATACAAACCAAAAAATAAACAATTTAAAAAACCAGAAGATGAGGCTTCTTTTCAGGCCAGGCCACGTGGAATTTGGTTATATTATCACGGTTGGAAAATGCCTCCTTCAATTAAATAGTTAATATCTAGCCAGGATCCCACAGGAGGTGCTTGCAGACCTTGAAATCATACTACATGCCTGACAACTGTAACTACCTCTGTGTGGGGATTGTGTTTCTGAGAATACAAAGTATAACATTAGAAAGAGAGAAAAGAAATCTGCTTTATGTTTATAGCATCGTAATTCTATTGTAATGGGCAGTTGTTCCTAATAATAGACTGCACCCTCTCTTTTGCTGTTGTGCAGATATAATAGCTATTACAAAAGCTGTTGTTTGGGATGGTTGATGATGGATTTGGTAGCATTAATATCCATCCTGCAGGATGCAATGTCTTAGGGTTTGAACAAAGACTGCGTGTCACTATGCAGTGACACTGTGCAGATGGCCTCATGATGACTAGTAATGGCTTGCTATAAATACTGGAGGGAAGAATAGCAATTTTGACAGAGTATGATAGCTAAAATTGGGAGGCAGAATAAAAAGAGCTTTTGAGTTAAAAATCAGATGAGTGGTATGTTGAATATATGAGTGGAAGTGAAGCGGTCCGTGACATGTAACGGCCCTCCATAGCTACAGACTGACGGAATGGAAAGGGGAGTTAGACAGTAGATGTTTTAAGAAATAAGGCCTATAAGAAGCCTATGTCATTATTAACTACTTTTTGCGTGCTCTTTCTTTGAGCTGTGATTTAAATTTATATAGTTGTTATCAAATCTTGGCTTAGTTGAAGTGGACAATAGTAGGGGAAGAGGAAATAGTCCATA